AATCTGTCTATGCAGATTATCCCCAACAGCAAAATTAAGAGGACCATTCAGTGCTTAATTTTAAAACCAGCCCTAAAAGTCAGCCAAGCCAGTCACTCCAGCGAGACAATATACCTGTCTCCAGTACACTATGATGCCAAACCTAAAACACCACTAAGTCTTGCAGGTGTAAACACAGCCTACATTAAATCAGGGAAGTGAAACTGCATTATTTGGTACAGTTTTGAAGAAACCTTGTATTTACAGGGATATGAAATAAGTTTCTAAGAAAGAACTAAGGAGTGACTATGTAGGTCTTGGTTTTCAAACCATTTTTGATACAGGACATTAAGGAGCTGAAATGATTTGTATTATGTTCTAAACACCTTAAAGTGTATAAATGAAGACAAATGTAAGGATGTTGAGCCATTAATGGCTAAGTAGCTAAGATGTGGACCCTGAATTTATTACAGTGTTTCAATAAAATAGATTGAATTTCTTTTTGAGACCCAGTCTTGAACGCAATTACACAAAAGTCCACAATTAGGAACTGCTATTTCTATCATACCACACCATTTTTATCGCACCTTTTTAAAACCAGCTCTAACAAAAGGTAAACAAGGAGGTTGACGTTTTTAGACTACATATGAGAAAGGCCCCCCTGGAAACCAAATCCAACGAAGATCCACTTATGCTGTCTTTCTGCGGGGCCACACTCCTTGCTTTGTTTGTCAAACATTTATGAAGGTGAACAGAGATCCGAGTAAACTGTAATCCGAGAAACCATCTGTTTTCTGGTCTCCCTCGATTTTCTGCTCTGCCTTAAGTACAATCAGAACTACCCTGTTCACAGCTGGGATAACAGAACAAAATCTAGGTAGGTATTAGAATCATAGAAAATTAGGGTTGAAAAGGACCTCAGGAGGTCATCTAGTTCAACTCCCTGCTCAAGGCAGACCATCCGCAACTAGATCATCCCAGCCAAAGTTTTGTCTAGCCAGGCTTTAAAAACCTCCAAGGATGAAGATTCTACCACCTCTCTGGGTAACCTGTTCAGTGCTTTACTACTCTCCTAGTAAGAAAATTCTTTGTACCATCTAACCTAAACTTCTCTTGCTGCAACTTAAGACCATTACTGCTTGTTCTGTCATTTGCCACCACTAAGAACAGTCTAGCTCCAACAGGTATTCAGGAACCAAGTCAAATCCTTTCTTGCCAGGGACTGGCACATCTGGTCTTACCTCCAACACCTCAAGTCTGTCACAATATTTCTTCAGCTCGTAAAAGATATAGCAAAAAGGTGCCTTCATTTGACATTAAGATGTGTGCAAGACTGATACCAACTTTCCACAAGTCTGAATTTGAGCCACTGAACCCAGATAAGGGTTTTCTCAAGCTACAATTGTTGAAATACACTTATCTACACTTTAATGATCAGCCCTTTTTGGCCATAACTTACAAAAGGAGATTCTCTTGGAATTGTAACCTACTGATCTTCACTGCACATGTAAAGGAAGGGAAGGGAAGAGATGGTCTGCTACCCTAGGATCTCGCTTACATAAAGTTTCCACTAACAGCACAACAAGACTCATGAAAACAAGGAATATTTGCCTTGAAAACAAAACATAAGAGGGGGCTTGGTTATAAAGGGTTATAATAATGTAGACTGATCAAGCAGTCAGTGCCATTAGGAGCAAGTTAATTGAGAATCAACAATTAAAAAGTACTAATTTCATAAATGTATGGTCAATGTTCAAAATCCACAGATCAAATAATTAAGTCTGACCAAAGCACGAACTCAAATACTGGAACTGAATGTAGGAGTTGGATAATTTTATCAGAATAATCGTTGTAGCTGGACAATTTTTAAGGTTAACCAGCATTTCATGCTTCATGACAGAATCACTTGCAGTGCAAAGGAAAGGATTCTTAATGCCATTTCCATGCATACTGTACTGAATTAAACAGATTGGTGATATATATTTTAGACGAGCCTAAGTAAGTCACTTTTCATTTAAGCATGAGATAGCAGACACTATTTTGTTAGGCTTAACAGACCAGTAGGCCGATCCATTTTATGGCAAGTTTATGGGGAATGGGGCCTTTTTGACTGAGTCATATTTAAAATCATAAACGGAACCTTTACTTTTTCAATGCAATTAAAACAGCATTTTGGTAAGGAAACAAATTAGAGTACATTTACTCTTAGCTTGACAGGGTAACATCCACAAATGGAATCATATAGTATGTTTATACAGCCACATGATGCTGTAGTACACAGGCATCTGCATGCAGAGTTAGCAATAGTGAAGACATGGTGGTATGGCCTAACAATTAAAATGCAGGTCCTCTGGTGACCCCGAGTATACATGTTGTTTGCTAATTATTGCCAAAGCCCATATCATTGATTCTTGATTGCTGTTACCCCTCTATCTAAATTAAAAGGTACCATGGGAATGTATGCTTCCCATGCTACAGACCACCAAGGTAGCATGCTTCAGACCACATCTTCATTTGACTCCAAAGAAATATCCTGAGCCAGTGATAATCAGCCAGAGTGCTGCAACATGCTTGGGTAACCACAAGATCTTTATAAAAGTGTGCCCCATGGTAATATACATTATTAGTAGTGTTAAGTATACAAATATCTACATATGATTCACTAGATAAACCCAAAGATTTTAAGTAGGAATCTAGAGTGTCAAAAATATTCTGACTCGTTGTAGTCTCAGTTCTTTAAAACAGAAGAAGTGCTCTTTTATTTTTCTACGGTCAAGAAACAAGAGAAAGAAGAGCTGCCATTTTCAAAGGGGTGCCTCAGGTCAACAAGGGTGCCTTATAGCTAATGAAGTCAAGAGCCACTGCCCTACAAGGTACTGCATAAATCTGAAATCCACACATGCCTTTTCGCTATTATGTAATGATGTCATGTAAGATTAAGTGAGTCAACTTTTGTGCGCTTGGTTCTGAATTTGGTGTATGATTGTGTCAGGACAGAGCAAGGTTGTCACATTTTAAACAAAAATGTTGAAAAAGATTTAGACATTGACATCGCAAAGTGGAAATGCATAAACATACCATATCTATGAACTGCTTATTATGTACATTACAAAATGCATAAAGATTCTCAAGAGAGATCATTCTACATAGAATGTTTGAACTTATAAATACTATATTGTCAATACAGAACAATTCAACTTTTCAGGATTACTGAGAAAGCCGTTTAATGGGTCTCATCTGTCAGTTACAAACTAAAACCGTAGAAACAAAGTAAGCATCTACTTCTGCAGAGCAATCTAGTTATTACTGACACTATGAAAAGAATATTTGCTGTTGAGTGGCACAATACAGTACTTTATTAAAATCCTAAAATAAACAGGTGTCAATTAAAATTAAATCACTAGGCAAAAAAAAAAAAATACAACCTTTATAATCTTTGGCAAGTAATAGTAAGAAAAGTTACTCTGATGAGACAGGAAGAAGAAGAGAGGGGAAGGGAGGAGGAAGGGAGAGAGGGAGAGACCTACAAACAGCATCTCAAATTGATCGTGTAAAAATCAGACACAATTTTGATTAAGTTTCTCTGTGGCTTAGCCTCCATTTGTAAATTCTGCTTTCAGTGCAAGTTTTGATAACATTAAGTAAAAACAAACAAACAAACAAACAAACAACATGCAAAGTCACTAAATAAATGTGAACCAAAAATACAGAACCACTAAATTAGCAAACAACATGCTATGATGAATACAGAGCTCTATAGAAAAAAAAGCACGTAACTAAAGATTATTATACAACATATGCATAAAGGAACCATTCTACAAGTACAAGGGCAAACTAAATTCTGGCATTTCCTGACTTTCGAGTGACTGGCTCTACAACTTAAGCTATACTAAAATATTAAAGCATAAATCTCATAAAAGCACATGTAAAGCTTACTAAACAACATTACTATGGAATGTAGAGCCTTTTGATGAAAGTAAAATTCATTACACTGAAATTGTGCAAAAGAATATTATTAATCTAAATAACAGCTATAACTTCTAACACCTGATTATTTGAAAATTATATTTCAATAGACACAAAATTACCACTTGGAGTAAATGTGTTAGGAATGCATATGTCCATAACTGTTGATATGCATATACAATATATAAACCTGAGTGAGTCTTCTCTAAAACAATAGTTATGAACCAGCAAATTAAAATAGGTAGGCTAGCAGCCTTAAATCTACTCACTTTCAAGGAATGCCTAAAATGTACACATTACCCGTGTTCTTGCTAATTTTTTTTTTGAGGTTCTGTCATTTTTCCAATTTTTTAATGCTTCATCAATTGTTAACTTTATATAACATGCACAAATACTGCATAAGTACAAAATTAAACAAAATGAAAACTAGAAAACTTCTCTTCCTGGTCTTAGGCAATAGTATTAAGAATAGAAAATCCATGTACTTGACCAAAGGTTGTGTGCACACCCAAAAGATCAATTATAAAAAATCTATTTCTGAGTAAAAAGATCTAGATGAGAACACACAAAGCTTGGGTGTTAGAACCAGATGAGCTAGAGTGTTAGATTTGAGTGTTCCCGTCTATCTTAAACAAACTCCTTACGAAATATTTAGAAACTCAGTGAACATTCATTTTAAATATATGACAGCTAGGTAAACTCATTAGGTTTTATGTTAGCTTCTGTATATATTTGGAATAGAAGCATCTGAACTACTACACTAAGTGTTTGAAGTACACCCATCAGATTTACTTTCTGTAAACACTTCTTGTGCGTCCTGATGAAATACCTATTTCAAGGGCATGTTCTATTAAAATGGCAGGACTGATGTAACATTCTAGTAATAACAACTACATGCAACTCCAAATCTAACTTTTGTTTTGCACCTGCGCCTACCTACTGATTTTTAGAAGTGTTCTTAAGATAAATGACAACTTGAGATGAGTCAGCTAGTGCTTAGAATAATGTGAAATATGATACTGGATCACAATCTAATACATTATATACATGTTTACCTCCAGATCCTAACTGCTTGTAGAACCTGTATTCCAGGTGTAGCTGTGGTGCTCTAGACTTCATTGGCTCCTGATTTAAAAGAAAGAGATAGGGGTTAACATTTAAAGTAGATCAAGTTATCTTTGTTTCAATTTCTTAACTTTACTATCTCCCATTCTAATGCTCTCTAGCTCTCTCTCTCTCTCCTTTGCCAACAGCGGTATATTTTGAGTACAATAAGAAAAAAAAAATGGTAATGGCATCGATTTAACAGCCTACTGGATATTAGATAGTAGTCTGCATTACAGAATGTTATGTCACAGTTTAAAAAACAACAGCTGACACAAACTTAAAGCAAATAAATTAGGCAGCAAGAAGTTAGAGGTGCTGAAGGTCAGAAATGACAGATCTAAGGTTGCCCACACAACCTTAATTCAGTCCATTGTGCATTAATGAGCCTAGTGTTGGGGAGGATTGGGAATCACGCCATCATGAAATTAGACACACAAAAACATGGCACTATTAGGTTTGCTAGAATTAAGAATGCCTTTGCATGTCCCAACTTTTGAGTACTTGACTTTGCAATGTAAATAATATTTCATCTTAAGGATCTTTAAAATATGTTTTACTAAAACTTCTCTTAAAGTGTGTGTGTGTGTGTGTGTGTGTGTGTGTGTGTGTGTGTGTGTGTTATGTACAACTATTTTCCCACATTATGCATCAGGTTTGATTTCAACCCTAAGCCATCACTAAATTAACCCATACTTAGCTAAGAACCAAAATTACCTGCAACAGTCATCTCTGAAGAGTTATAGGAGTTGTGGGGCCTTCAGAGGGAGAATAACCTAAATAAACTGCATCCTTTTCTTCCCCTAGTGTCCTCATATGGAGGAAATATAATGAACTCAAAGCCCCATGGTATGATTCCAGGGGGCATTTCTAGGACATAAGGAGCAATGATTTGGCTCTTGTGGGGTGACAAGCACAAGACCCTTAATTCATCCTTCTCCTGCCTGCAGCTGCTCTGGCAGCTCTCAAGTCTTACCAGTATAGTATGGATGGCTGCTACTACTGCAGCAGCTTAACTGCATGAATTCAGTTATGTTGGAAGGCTGCCAAAGTTTTCCTGGGGAAGACAAGTGAGAGAAGGGAAATGGCCTTTTACTGGCCTGTGCCTCAGCAAAAGCTGAACGGCATTTCATGACAAAGAAAATACACTTCCCTAGCTCCAGGGCATTCCCCCTACCGAACATCTAAACACTGCTGCAAAGAGAAGAGCGAGAGCTTCTGGAAGGAAAGGTCACAAGAATAATTTATAATTGAAGTGTTAAACAACCAATTCTCTTTGGGCTGCCATAAGCTTCCCCCTTTGATTTACTTGTTCTGGAATAGTATCAAGTAGTTACCACCTCAAGCTTTTTGCTTTTTATATATTATTCAAGGTAAAAGACAAGGGGCATTTTCCTTTAAGCAATTATTGTTCCTTATCTCAAAATTGAGCTTTGCTTTTTTGTATACACTACTCAAAAAACAAGCAGAAGCAAGCCAACAGTTGCGACAATCCTTTAGAATTGAAACAGAAAATCCTTTGGAACCTTGTAGAATTTATAAAGGTGTGAAGTTACCTTTCCTGAATTCTTCAGAAGTCATCTTTCATTTTTAGGTTAGTTTTGAGCCCATGAGAAAATACAATTTGTATAATCTTTTCTCCTATGCCTGAAAAGGGGTGTTTGTGTCCAAAAGCTTGCAAATAAAGAATTTTTTTGCAAAAATCTAGTTGGTCTAATAAAAGATATCACCTCTACAAATTCTGATTCCAACTTAATCTCTGTTACCCAAGAGCCTTGTTACATGGTAATTTTGGGTGGCTTCTGGAGGTCTTAACCCAGGGGTGGGCAAAATATGGCCCACAGGCCGAATCCGTCACGCAAGGCCATTCTATCCAGCCTGCAGGACCCCTAAAAAATTTAGAAAATGAATATTCATCTTCCCTTGGTTCCTGTCAAAAATGACAGGAACCAAGGGCAGTAGGACCCAGGGGAAGCCCAATGGGCTCCCACAACAGCAGGACCCACCCAGCCCCGCCCCTGCAGCTGGGGCTTCTGGCCTGGGACTACATGGCTGCTCTGCGCCAGAACCGCAGGTAAGGAGGAAGTGGGGGAGGGCCGGGGAGGACCCTGGGCAGGGGAGGAGCCCGAGGAAAAGTGGCCCAGGGAAAAGCTGAGCACAGGCAGGGGGAAAACAGTCCCTCGCCTGCCCTGTGACCAGTGCCCTGCGCTGCAGCCGCTTGCAGCCCCCCT